TAGTATTACTTCTGCAAATATAAAATTACTTTTAAGTTTTATCCTGAGTTTGTTTTTAAATAATCACCTACCAAGAAATTAACATCATAAGTAAACTGTCATGCTCAAGAAATTTATTTTAAAAACTCTTAGATTATTAGAGCACTGGCTTGCTCACTTGGTAGACCACACAACTCTTGATCTCAGAGTTCTGAGTTCAAGCTCCACAATGGATGTAGAGCTCACTTAAAATAAATAGGGGTGCCTAGGGTGGCTCAGTCGGTTAAGAGCCCGAATCGATTTTGGCTCAGGTCATGATCTCAGGGTCCTGGGGTAAAGCCTCATGTGGGGCACGGCGCTTAGCCAGAAGTCTGCATGAGATTCTCTCCCTCTACCCTTCCCTCTGCTTGACTCTCTCAAATAAATAAATCTTGAAAAAATACAATAAATTTTTTAAATTCATTATTTTGATCTGATTTGAAATTTCAGCTTTAGTTTCAATATATCTGCTTTCTGCAAGATGTATTTCTAATATAAATCCTACTCCTTACTCTATTCTGAAGTAATCAGGAAATCATATTTTCTTGTTTCTATTATCTTCTCGAAGAAAAAAATATGATCATTCTATCTCTGAGTTATTCTTCATCTTGTTCAGAATTCTATACATCCACTTTTTTAAATTTTTATTTAAATTCAATTTATTAACATATACTATTGGTTTCAGAGGTAGAGGTCAGTGAATCTTATATAATACCCAGTGCTCATTACATCACATGAACACTTTACTATTCATCACAGAGTTAACCCCATCCCCTTACCCGCCACCCCTCCAGTGACCCTGTTTGCTTCCTGAGTCTCTTTTGGTTTGTCTCCCTCTCTGATTTTGTCTTGTTTTATTTTTTCCTCTCTTCCTTTATGATCCTCTGTTTTGTTCTGTCTTAACCACATTGCTCAGAATTCTACACATCCTCTTAACCGCTAGGTAAATTTTCTTATTAAAGAGTAACAACTACCATTTATAATTAAAAGCATCATAATTCTATGTCAGGCCCACCAAAAATTCTTGTCATCCCTCTTCATTTGATGATTCTGAAATACAGTCTGAAAATTCAGTTTGATCCCAAGGTATGTTTCAATTCATGACAATCTCTCACTTGTAAATGTAGAAATCCTCAATCACCTAGTGACACTTTAGAGATGTGAAAAACAAACTAACAAACCATCTGATACCTTTTTTCCTTCAAACCCTAGAAAAAATGACTTTTATGACAATGTGTACTGTGCACAGCCAAATAGTTTGAAAGTATAAATGTCTAACAACATGAGATCAACATGCATGTTTTTCCATTACATCTTTAACAGAAAGATGTAATTACATCTTTACCACAAAGATCATTTTAATCTTGAATGAAGTGTCATGGTAGCTTTCTGAAAGCAATAAAATACCACTAGCAATAAGAAAAAAAATAAGTTATCTGATTTCAAGCTAAATTTACAGACAAGAACATTAAGTAATATATCATTCTTTATGTTATGGTTGACTGAGTCTCATTCACTAGCCCTGAGTCTATTACCAATTGCACTTGAGTTACTTTTTTAAAATATAGGTGGCCCAGTGCTAATCTAAGAAAGTCAGATTATACAGATCTAAGTTTTTTCCCTACAATCTTCAAGGTGGATGCCAAGGTACAGTCATGTTAAAAAATCACAGGTATGTGCCTTCCACATCTATCATCTATAATATAACAATGACAACTGTGAAAGCAAGATTATATACTCAAAGATTAACAATATTCACTATGTAAAATTTACTATGGCATTAAGATTGAAACTGTACTTTTTAGAGCAATGAAAAATTAGTATTGGCGCAAATATTCTTATTTATTTAAACATTGTAAAACACAAAGCAACCAGCTAACTCCTCAGGTGCACTCCAGTTAAATATGCCATAAAAGTCCAAGGGTAGTATACTAAAGACAAAAATTAGCAAGATGACCTCTTTTTCAATTTTTTTTTAATTTTTATTTATATTTATGATAGTCACACAGAGAGAGAGAGAGAGAGAGGCAGAGACACAGGCAGAGGGAGAAGCAGGCTCCATGCACCGGGAGCCCGACGTGGGATTCGATCCCGGGTCTCCAGGATCGCGCCCTGGGCCAAAGGCAGGCGCTAAACCGCTGCGCCACCCAGGGATCCCATGACCTCTTTTTCAAAACACATCTATTTTTAAGTTGGTTCATTATACAATGGTTGAATTTTATTCCCAAAAAATATACTCCATAAAGAAAACAATTATTTTGGAAGACATTTCTGAAATACAAAAAAATACTTTTCCCAGGAAAATATTCCAACATTTGATACCACAAACCCAAGAAAATAAAAACAGGGATCCCTGGGTGGCGCAGCGGTTTGGCGCCTGCCTTTGGCCCAGGGCGCGATCCTGGAGACCCGGGATCGAATCCCACGTCGGGCTTCCGGTGCATGGAGCCTGCTTCTCCCTCTGCCTGTGTCTCTGCCTCTCTCTCTCTCTCTCCCTGTGTGACTATCATATATAAATAAAAATTAAAAAAAAAAAGTTTAAAAAAAAAAAGAAAATAAAAACAAATTTGGGGGGAGAACTTTATTGGGAACTGCACAAAAATAATCAAATGAGATAAAACAGAACACTTTTATCCTATGTTAAATTGCATGGTTGCTTTACATTTTTGTTAATATTGTTAATGTTATGTTGAAATGTAAAACTGTTTGAAATGTTATTCTTTCTCCCATTGAACAATTTGCTTAAAAAAATAAAACTGATATTTGCTTCTATCTTTCCATAGCATTAAGGAATATTAATAAACGTAAGTGTCTGAAAATGTATTGCCAAAATTAAGAACATAAAAAAAAATTAAGAACATACAATGGACCCAAACAAACAGCAGCATGTGGTACTCAAGCAAAAAGACTATCACAAGTTTTAGGAGTTACAAAAGCTAGATGTACCACTTACTGCCTATATGGTTTTGGGCTTACTATTCTGGAAATGAGTTTATTAACACGTTGTTACAAAATCATAAGAAAAGTTAAGATACTATATAGCATACTATCTAATTTTTGGAAACACTCAGCAAAGAGTAATTAGAATAATGATAATCTGATCTCTTTCTCTCAAACTAACACCTCTAATATTTTTCAGCTACATGAGCTTTTTTGATAAACTCCAAAACATAATAATCTTGAACAATATGGAAAGAATAAAAATAATTTCCCAATATGTCAGCTACAAAATATCTCGACATTAATTTCTGCATTAAAGTACAGATAATAGGTGAAACTCCTTGAAGAATCTTCTGAAAAAGTTCAAAACCTCACTTAGGTTTTTAACAATAAAAACAAATTCTACACTTTTCTATTTTTATTCAGAAGTGAAAAACAAGACAAAACAAAATAAAATCCCTTCATCTACTTCCAGAGAAATAACCTTACTGTCTCATCATCACAGTCAAATGACAGATGTTGACAGCCCCGGCCTGGCAATGACAGATCATAAAATGGAGCCTAGATTCAGTACATCATTTAATCCATTTTTCATGATCTTAGCACTAATTTATAAGCCTTCTAAAAGCTGAGAGAATCCAATTTTGAAAATGAGTTATCACTTCAACTTATTAGTCCAAAAAGCTAAAGACTTATTTAGTATCTAAAATTTCTAAAGGCAGTGGATTCTTTTATAATGATTAACCACAGACAGATACTGTTTAGAGTCAAAAAATATGCTTAATTTTTTTTTAGTATGCTTAATTTTATTACTAGGAATTTCCTTCCAAATGTACAGCAGTATAAAAATCAAAGTTCTTATTAATAGGCATAATTTTCTTTATATGTCACCACTTGAAATAATTCTTCAAAGTAGACTATGTGCCTTTTTGATGTTTAGGAGCCAAAGCATACCTCTCAAATCTATTAAATGTATTACTCTTTGATTTCTTTTATTTTTATTTATCAGAAATTTTCTTAATAGCTTAAAATTGGCATATTACTTTGCACCATCAATTAAAAGTTCTCTGAACTACTGCTAAATATATTTTAGAGATCAAGTAGGCTTGATCTATAAAACGATACGAAGAGAAGAAATATTTTCACTACAATGGTCCACTGGGAAGCTAAATTTAGTATTTCAAAAAATACAATCATATAATATTTAAAAATTAATAGAAATATAGATAGCGTAATTGAAATTAAGCAAACTGCATAAATGTACTGTATTTCTGGTTCTCTGGAAAATGTTCTTATTCAGTTACGTCCATTCTTAGATATATTCTGGGTTCGATTTTGTCTCCAAATCTTACTTCTTTAGCTCTACTGTCCTTATTCTCCTTTACTTCTATCATCTTCCTACACCAAGTAACTGTATCTGTATGTTTAATTTAAATGCAAATTTGGGGCAGCCCGGGTGGCTCAGTGGTTTAGTGCCGCCTTCCGCCCAGGGTGTGATCCTGGAGACCCTGGATCCAGTCCCACATCGGGCTCCCTGCATGGAGCCTGCTTCTCCCTCTTCCTGTGTCTCTGCCCCTCTCTCTCTCTCTCTCTCTCTCTCTCTCTCTCTCTGTTTCTCATGAATAAATAAAATCTTAAATAAATAAATAAATAAATAAATAAATAAATAAATACATCTTTGCCCATACCCACTAACACTAAAATGGTTGCATTCCTACTATTTATAATTTACATAATTTGACAGTGCTCCATATCTACATGTTATCAAAACCAATATGGCAACAGTCAATACAATAGACTGATAAAGTACTCACGTAGGGATACAATATACAACAGCCTTCAAAAAGGACGTTCAAACCTAGAATGTCTGTTCTCTTGACCCTATGCTACTACTGTGCTGAAATTAGAATTCCATTCATAATCTGTCACTGAATTTATCTCTAAAATGACATATACACATGCTGTTGATTAATGTATTTGAGAATCTCTAAATGACAAAATTCTGATATTTCCTACTTTGTACAATCCTAACAGATACATACCTATGTCATATGCCAGGAAATCGGCAGAAAAACATTTTGCACCGTTACTCAAGGAAGTGTCATTATGGGTATTTCCTCCAAAAATAAGCATAGCTCCATTGATAAGAACAGCTGAATGAAGGTATCTGGCAAACCCACTTTCTTTCAAAATAGTCCTACAGGATAAAATTTAAAAATGTATTACAAAGGATAAAAAGACCTCCCTGATTTTATATATATATATAAAGGGTCTAACTCGCATATAGAATTTTCCTTCGAATTGTGAAAATAACATGCTTTATTTTTTTAACACCTCATAAATGGCCTCTAAGTTTCAATATTTGTAAATATTATGAGATTCACAGTATCTTAAAATGCTTTGAGAAATACAATATTAAACATAATTGTTCATGATTTTATAATAATTTATATTTTGAACTTTTATTTCATCTATAAAATAGGAAACAAGTGTCCTTAAAACTAGAGGATGAGGTACCACCAGTTTTAAATACCAAAGCAAATAAAAAGTTATTGAATATAATAAATTTACTGAACTGTATTCAGTTCAGCAAAACTAATAATTCATATGGATCCCATATTACACTTTTTGTTTTTATTTAAATATAACATACACAAAAGTGCACATAAGTCTAAAATTCAATGGATTTTTCACAAGATGAATATAACTAAGTACACAGTATGGAGATTTTTTTTAAAAAAAGAACACCACTGTTCTGATTCTTTTGTGGTTCTTTATCAACTTTAGGATTGTTTGTTCTATTTGTATTGCTGTCATTGTACTTTATAAAATAGAATTATATAGCTTGTATTAATTTGCATGTACATTCTTTTGCTTAAGATTATTTTTGATAGATCCATATTGCATAAAATCACAATGCATTTTTGAGAAACATTAAATATAAATGTTCTTTTAATTAATTAGAATTTAACTGAGAGAAACTACTATAAATATATGCTCATAATTGTATTTTACCTTAATGTACTGACATATAATAAACTGCATGACAATATGAATCAATATTTCGTAAGTATTCTAAATAAAGCACTGGTACTAAAAAAGAATCAGAATGTAAACCCAGTAAATACAGGAAAGTAAGGTATATATAGTATATATCTCAAAACTCTATAGCAATTAATGCTTAAAGAATGTGGAGCTGACTTCCAGAATGGCAATATAGGGAATTCCAAAAACTATCTATAAGGAGAGAACTGTAATTGGTAAAAATTACCCAAAGAAAAGGACATTTAAGTTCTCAGAAAAAATTAGTAAGAGCAACAACAAATAAATATTTACTCAAGAATATCTACTAAATTTCAGTAAGAACAGAGTCATCCATGATATCTGACCCATTATCTACTCCAATCCTTCCCCCATCAGTATCCCCCGTCGCCACATAAACACACAACCAGTTTGGTAAGACATAAGTTCAACCCCAAGTGGGTAAAGCTAAGAACAGAGAGCTCCTTCATTCCTCAGCTCCTAGTCCAGACCACTGATTTCTAACCAGGAATAGCAGACAGCCAACTTTTCTCACGGCCCCCAGCTCTGAGTGACAGAAGCTCTATTCGAGGAGAAAGCATGAGAGGTCTAAATGCTCATCCTCTACCTAGCCCCCATTTATAGGGTGCAAGCTATACACCAGGTCTCACAGGCTAAGAGGGCCAACAAATTTTCACCCACATCAGTCATAGGAAAGGAGTTCCATGCAAGCTGGGAAGAGCAAAGGCCACCATCCCCATCTATTACCCTGCACAGTAGTATCACTCCAAGAGGAACTACTAACCCCACTTACAATTCCAAGGTACTAGAGCACAGACTCTCATCCTATCCCACACCAGGGAGAGGCAAGCTAAGAAAAAAGGAAGTGCCATAGATCTTCCAAGGGAACTGAGTTTATTTGTAACAGAAGGTAGGAAACTTTAAGCCTTAAGGGCACTCTCAAAAATAATGGAGATTTCTTTGTAAGCAATTAAAAGATAGTTGGCAACTCCATGAGAACATTCAGCAAAAACATAGAAATTTGCCAGAGAAAAGCAGGGGGAAAGACAGCTAATAAAAGCCCTATGAGGGTCAGAATCTCTAAGATTGGCCAAAGACTGCCCCTGAAAAAGGGTTGAGATTAAATTCAAGTATAATAAGGAGCAATTTATGACCCAGATCATGGTTGAGAATAATAGAGCAGTCAGGCAGCAGTTAGTTGTTGCCAGCAGATGGTTGTAATAGAGTCAGACAGTTTACCAGGGAGGTCAGAGGAAAAATTCAGAAAGCCCTGCTAACACCACTGTCATCCAGGGGTGATTCAGTGCATCTCCAGGCTGCTTCCTTTGAGGAGCAACATCAGAGGATCCACTGAAGGAAGAAAAAGACTTCACTAAAACAGTTCAGCGAAGTCGCTAAATAAATAATATTATAAAAGTTCCAGAAAAGGAGGAAAGAGCAGGATCCAGAGTTGCTACAATATGTTATCTAAATTGTCCAGTGCAGGCAACAAAATGCATGCAAATTATGGCATGCCATGAACTAGGATAGAGTAACCTATAGACAGGGGGAAAAGCAGGCAACAGAATTGCCTTTGAGAGACCACAGATGTCAGATGAAGCAAAAAAGACTTCAAAGCCGCTATTATAAATATGTTCAGCCTTAAAAAACACAGGTTTAAAAAAGTAAAGGAAAATATGACAGTTTTATCAAATATACAATAAAAGATACAGAAGTCACCAAAAAAAAGAAAATCCAGAGTTCAAAAGTATAATAATAAAAATTTTTAAATTTACAAAGGAAGCCCAATGGTAAATTTCAGCAAGCAGAAGGAAAAAAATAAAAGTAGAAGATAGAAAAACAGAGATTCTGCTATCTGAAGATTAAGAAAAGAAAATGAACAGAGCATATAAGAAATGTGGAACATTATTAACAACTAAATACATTTACTAAGAATATTAATGCAGAGGAGAAAGAAGTAAAAAGTTTTCCAAATATGTCTGATAAACATCTGCAACTCATATAATTGATAAAGGACTTAACACTCAAAATATATAAAGACTTCATAACTCAATAATAAACAGATAAATTCAAATAAAATAATAGGCAAAGGACCCTAATAGGCATTTCTCCAAGAGAGCTATATAAATGGCCAATAAGCATATGAAAAGATGCTGAATATAATCAGCCATTATAACAATGCAAATCAAATCTATAATGAGATACCACTTCATACCCACTAGGGGGGGCTATAATCAAAATGTTGGACAGAAACAAGTGTTGACAAGGATATGGGGAACTTAGAATCCTCATACACTGCTGGTGGAAATGTAAAATGGTGCTGCAGCCACTATGGAAAACAGTCTGGCAGTTCCTCAAAAATTAAATTGTAGAGTAACTACAGAGCTGGCAAATCCACTCCTAGATATATACCCAAGATCAATGAAACCAAGCCTCTACACAAAAACATCTATGCAAATGTTCATAGAAGTATTAACAATAGCTAAAAAGTGGGAACAACTCCAATTTCCATCAACTGACAAATGGATAAAATGTGGTATATCCATACAATGGAATATATTTTGACAAAAAAAAATAAATTAAGTGCTGATACATGCTACAATATGAAATCATGCTCTCACTAATGCTTAAAGAAGTCTATTATTAAGAAAATAAAACACATATTGTATCATCCATTTATAAGTCCTGAAGAAAAATCTTTAGAGACAGAAGGTAGAATAATGCTTACCAAGAGCTGTGGGTTTGAAGGGAAATAAGGATTAACTACTAATAAGTATAGGGTTTCCTTTTGCAGGGATAAAATGGTTCTAATTTGGGGCAATGATTGGACAACACAGTAAATAAACTAAAAACCATTTAACGGTATATTTTAAATGGGTGGATTTTATGGTATATGTATTATATCTCAATATGCCTGTAAAAGAAAGAATACCAGGCTTTCATAATAAACGACAAGAGTCATCTAGAAATTTGACTCCCATTCTATCCTAAGCCTTTCTGGTTACAAAGAAAGCTATAGGTTCAAAATTATATCACTATCATGCTCACTTCAGCAACACATATACAAAATTTTATCATTGACAAATATAGAGCACTTTCAAGTGCATAAAAATATGGCACATTCCCTTCTAAAATCTAGGGCAGCCCAGGTGGCTCAGTGGTTTAGTGCCACCTTCAGCCCCAGACCTGATCCTGGAGACCCGGGGATCGAGTCCCACGTCGGGCTCCCTGCATGGAGCCTGCTTCTCCCTCTGCCTGTGTCTCTGCATCTCTCTCTCTCTCTCTCTCTCTCTCACACACACACACACACACACACAAATAAATAAAATCTTTTAAAAAATAAAAAATAAAATATAGTGGTCTCTGATTTCTTTTTACAAAATAAACACTATCTAGTAAATAGTAAAGGAAATACATGGATCAAGGAAAAAACATTCAGTTACTAGAGAGAAACTTAAGCTGAAAACAGTTTTTATCTAATGATTAAGCAGATAGTATTTATCCAGGTATGCAAGGCTGATTAAACATTTGAAGGTCAAGTGATGTAATATATCACATCAATAGGAGAAAGAATCATAGCATCATATCAACAGATACAGAAAAAATCATTTGACAAAATCCAGCATCTATTCATGATAAAAACTCTCAGCAAACTAGGAATAGAGGGGAACTTCCTCAGTTTGATAAAAGAATTTACAAAAAACAAAAATCATACTTAACAGTGAGAAACTAGATTTTTTCCTTTTAAGAAGAGGAACAAGGTAAAATATACTCTATAACCACCTCTATTCAACACTGTACTAGAAGTCTTAACCAATGCAATAAGACAAGAAAAGATACACAAAATGGAAAGGAATAAATAAAACTATATTTGCTCACAGATGACATAATTTTCTACAGGGAAAATTCTGAAGAATCAAGCAGAAAATTCCAGGAACTAAGTGATTATAGCAAGGTTAAGGAATATAAGGTTAATAAACTAATATCAATTGCTTTCTTATACTTGAACAGCAATGAACAATGAATACTTGAAATTAAAGACACCATTTATATTAGCACCAAAAAAGAAAATTAAATGGGCATAAATCTAACAAAATATGTATAAGATCTATATGGAAAAAATTACAAAACTCCAATGAAAGAAATCAAAGATAT